TAGAAGAAAAACGCAATTTTAATGTAGCCATACTCTAGGTCTTCCTCGATGTGACCCGCTGAGAGTTCCAGGAATCCTCGTTGTCGATCTTTCCTAAACCACAGAATCTGCTCTTTTAAAAACAGCACCAGGGAAGGCTTCTTTAACAAATAAGTGATCAACAAGACATAGTAAAGGGCCATCAAACTCCACAGCATATAATTCCAGTTACATTCTGATGATTTCCTACAATGCGAAGAAAACAGTGTCTCAGAATACCCAGCCGCACATTGACCGCAAAGAATCCCAGATCTGAAACCGTGGCAGCTGTTGTACTCGTTTTCGTGGTATGAATAGGGATCTTGATAACGGCAGTATTCCCAAGGACAAGGCAAGAATTTCAACGAAGAAAAATTACTTCCATTAGTAATTTTGTAGCCCCAAAAATTTGGTTTTGCTAGAATATTGTTGGGTCCGTTGCAGCGAGCTCCAAATGGACAGTTAAGACACTTGATGTAATTACCAATGGCTAGTCCTATAGTATACCCTCTTTCAAGACTGTACATTTTAGAAGGGCACATTAGACAACTGAAGAGTACAGTTGTTACGTTAAGACGGCAAAAATTGTTTCCCTTTCCACCTTGGTAAATGAAGTGAGAGAGATTCTTGAACTGCAGAGAGCTGCCTATTGCACACTGGATTGTTGAGCTCTGGTCCATGTGGAAATAACCGCCTGAATATATTCTCAAAATAGACTGACGTTTGCTTCTGTCGTCGATGTTGGAGTGGAAGGAAGTGTTTTCTATCTTAAGTGGGCCTCCGCTCTCTGAATGCAGAAATCTTCCAACTGCAAAGGTATATCTTGGTCTGTCTTGGTATGTCCCTGCCTTTTTCGTGCGTTTGAACATACAGCTCTTAAACTCGACCTTAGCGCTTCCGTACCCGACGTATACTTGGCCAATGTCTTTTTCGGAAAAATTGTCGATGAAACTGCATCTTTGAAACTTCACGTAACCATTGATGATCTGAACTGCTCCTGAGATGTTTCCAGAGTTATTTTGAAACAAGGTGTCTTCAAACAAGACGTGAGTTGTGTACCTGTACTTGCGATGGGTGTTTGTTGTAACAGTAGAAGGAACGCAACCTCTTTCCACCATTTCATCGGAGTCAAAGAGAAACAAAAGTGCCCCCTGACTTGCCACATAGCTAGGCATGTTCTTGAATCGTCTGTTACTCCATTCGTCTATTTCTACAGTAAAGCTGTCCCGAAATATGCATCGGCGTATATTGACTGTTTTGTTCCCCTTGGAAAGCAATGCAAATGTATTTGATGGCCGTCCAATGAAGGTGACATTTTCGATCTCGATTTTTGTAACAGCAGAAACATTAGTTCTCTCTAGGTAAGGTATAATGACACGAATACCAAACGTTGACTGATTCTCTGTACTTTCTCTGCCGTCAAATACCGTGTTGGTGACGCGGAAGCCGACATTGATACTGTTGTTTAGCAAAGCAGACATATCTTGCTGGTTGTTTCGAAATATGCAGTTATTCACAACAACGTTTAAATGAAAACCGTTCTTGTTCAGCATCTGGTCATAAGGCGGCCGCATAACGACACCATCCATCGAGGAAGACACTGTTACATTGTCAAGTGTAACTCTGAAGTTGGGGCTTACACTTACTGCACGTTTATTATTCCTGTCAAACGTTGTGTTGGAGATCTTAATTGTCCCTGCTCGAGCTCCAGTTCCCGTAACGGAGAAAATTGGCGCCTTCTTTCCTTGGCTCACACTGTTGTTGTAGAAAAGCGACTCGGAAACTTTAACGTCTACTGTTGCGTTTTTCCTGCTGGAGATTGTCAGGCACCTTATTTCATAATTATTCTTACACTGCAACCTAACAAATGCCACATTTGTCATCTTTACTTTGGAATAGTAAAGGCTACGAGACAAGTTGGCGTAATGATTTCTGTCAAGATGAATGCTGTTGTATGTTTCTATGGTAACAGCTGTGGGCAAATCGACAGATAGGAATTGCCCTATATTTGCAGCGCACACGATCTTGTCGGCCGTTATGCGCAGTTGAATTTTACGCGAAAATCCCGTTTCGTTCAATAATACGACACTACCCCTTGTAGTGTTAGCGTTTAATCCATTCTTCAAGAATGTAGTATTATCTAAATGCAATGAAAATTCCATGTCTGTTCCAGAGTCTTGTGCAAAATGGATTTTCAAACACAAAGAATTGTTCTGAAAGGTTGAGCGACGAATAGTGAGACTGGTATTCAGGCTTTTTGCCACACGAACAGTGACAGTCTCTTGGGTGTCTTGAAGGAAACAGTTGACAAGCGAGATATTGCTGGAGTCATTGAACTTGAGAGGGGTACCAAAGAACTTTATGCCAGTTAATGTTATCCACAATCTCTCGTTTAATCGGTGAAAATGAATGCCTTTCAAACACGAAACATGAGCTAGAGTCGATTCTAAACTAGTCATTGTTACGCTCTTGGACACTGGAATACCAGAATGATGGCCATTCGTGATGCTATTCCCGCAGTCAAATGGCTGTTGCTTCGTTCCATTGCCATTGAGGACGATGCGCCCGCCCCAGTCCACTTGGTCAACCGCCATTGCTATTGTGCGACATGGTTCAAGGCTGGTGCCACAAGTCTTGGTATCACTTCCAAATATGGAAACGTGGACAGTTTGTTGAGGACTCTCGAGGCAATCTGTAAGTACAAATACACGAGACACATTGTGATAACAAAATACAACTGGTTTTGGTGGACTGTTGAATTTAATTATTTGATGTTTCTGGTTCTATTTGGTGTGCCCTGCCCTCATTAGCCGGGTGTGTTTCTTAGACACTTTGGTCTTGGGAAAGTTTTAAGATCGGATCAATCAACCAACCAGTCAGTCAGTCAGTCAGTCACTTAGTTAATCAGGTATGCAGTCAGTCAGTCAGTCAGTCA